CCACATCTTGCGCCCAATGTTCAGCTGCTCCGCCTGCCGCTCGACCCCGTGGCCCAGCCGGGCAGCAGTGGCGACATAATCCAACTTCTTAGTCTGGACGGGTAGCTTCAGCTGCTAGAGGCCGTTCAGCATCTGCCTGGCGGCCCGGCGCAGCGCGTCGTTCGGTGCCGGGGGCGAGCGCGGCGTTTGCAAGGGGATTTCGCCAGACAGCTGCCGCGGGCAGATCTGCTTGATGGGCATGCCGGCGCACGCCGTCGCCCTGTTCGCGAGCGCGCAGAGGACTGCCGTCGCATGAGCACATCCAGCCACCACGCCTTTGGTCGAGGCGCGCAGCTTGAAGATGCCGTCGAAGGCGCGGATGCACCTGGGGAGCAGGCGCGCGTCGACGAGCACCCATAGCAATCGGAGGGGGCACCCGACCTGCCGCGCCTCGAAAAGCAGGACCTCGAAGGAAACGACGTCGAAACATTTCCATATACCAATGAGGATCGCAATCCTACCCTTGCCTCTCGCACGTGCCATTTCCGAGAAAAAAAAAAAGATCGAACGCCGCGTCGACGGAGCTCCTGCCTGGCCCCACTCCCCAATCATGCCCGGAGAGGTTGGCTGTTAAACATTAGGCCGAAACCTGCTTCCGAGCACGCCCCCATGCTCTAAAGATGGCGTTCCGAAGTCCGAGGAATATCAAACCCCCATCAGGTTTTGGGGGCTGCACCAACATGCAAATCAATCGACTCGACGCCCACGCGTGCAGAAGCTCGCACGCCTGCAGGAGTCCGGCGAGCACGTGCAAGGTCTCATCCGACAGGCACATCAGAGCTCTCGGCGGCATCTTCGCGTGCCCTGTGGCCGTCCTCGCCGGGAGGGTCGCGATCGCCTCGCGCAGCTCGACGGCCCCCATCGGTGGCAGCGGCGGCCAACTCTCAGCATCGTCAGACAATTGAGCCGTCTTGTCCCCGTGGGTCTGCCACGTGGTCTGCCACGTCTATAGATCCCTGTCCGCCATCTTGTTGGGCTCCGCGGCGGATATGTACTGGCCCATCTCGACCAGCGGCTGCCCCTTAATGAGCCTGTGGGCCTGGCCCACTCCACCCATTATGGCCGACGCGGCCCGCCGCTTCCAAGGCCCATGGACGGCCGCCTCCTCCTTCACCAAGAGGCTCGTGCAAGCACCTTCGATCTTGCCGACCCTGTCACGCAGCTGGCCGTCGTGGATCAACTCGGCCCTTGGAGGAAGAACACCTGCATCCACTCGTCGAGACGGCCGAGGGTCCGCTTCTTGTGCTGCACCGTGCAGATGAAGTCCTCGAACTCCCTAAGCGCGTTAGCGATGCTACTGACTCGCTTGGTGCGCGCCTCATCTTGGCACGGCACTGGCTTCGCGAGCTGCTCAGTCAGGTAGCTGTGGACCGCCTCCACGTGCCTCGCCAAAAGCTGGGCTACAGCCCGCGTCGCCGACTTGGGGCCGAGCCTCGGTCGCCTGCGCGCGGGCGCCCATTCGACCTTGGCCGACTCAACCCGGGTGGCTACGTCATGGCACTGGTACCGCTCACGGTCTTGCCCTGCAATGTCGTAGCGGTCGCACACTTCCTCCTCGATGCCCCACTGAACTATGTCCCACGCCACGGTCCGCTCGTCGCGCGAGGCGAAGGGCGGGCAACCGAGTCCAGCGCCTCATCCCGTCGCCGAGGGTACCGGGCGCACCTGGGAGGCGGGGTTGGCTTCAAGGCCGCGGGCTGCAACACCATGCGCCGCCATTCGCTTTGCTGCAGGCTGCGCACGGGCAAATGCACTGGCCGATGCGGCCACGTGTCAGTTTCGACCTGCGCCCACGGCTGGCCCACTACTGGCCGCAGGCTCACCGGATGGATGAAGTGGTCAATGATGGAGCCTGGCTGACTCTGCACACAAGTTGGGGCTCCAGGGGCCGCACGCGCTGACTTCGTAAGTTCAAGCATGCGTTCATGGAACCACTCGTTGGCCCCCCCGTTAAACTGGCCCGCCGGTAACCATGTATGTCCATGGAGCTCCAACTTCTTAAGACATTGTCGCAGGAGCCTCCTCGGTGTAAAAATACGCTGAGATGCACATGGCGCCGCCCTTCAAGCCCCAATTCGTTTGGGCTGCGACGACGCGATGAGGATAAATCTCCCCATTCTCACAGCACGGGGCCTGTGTGGTATGGTAGTGACCCCATGGCGGCTCAACACCGCTTCCCCTACGCTGATGCCTGCGGCGGTGGCCTGAGCAGGGAGCCACATGCCATGCCAGCCCTCATCGCGAGCAGCAGCCTGGACGTCGCCAAGCTTATAGTTCAGAGCGGGGTGCTCCTGAACCATGACGATCTGGGCAGGTTCCTTCTCGAGCGTGAATGAGTACTTCTGCAACGGCCCGCAAGACGAGACGTTAATCGTGATGATCTCATGTAGGCGCCGTCATTGCGCCTAAGGTCATGTGTTTGCTTCCTGCGTTTGGCATCCCAATGGAAAACATGATGAGGCTCGCGCTTAACAGTAGCACGCATCTCCTCCACAGTGTCGGGCACCTGGCGGCCCACATCGGTGAAGTATCCTCGCAGCTGCTCCTCGCTCTGATCGCCGACATGAACGTAGAGCGACTCGTCTCGCTGGGCAGCGGGAGCTGCAGGGGCACTGGCTGCTGCTGTCGCAGCAGCCTGTCCTCTTCTTGGTGCTGCATGGCCAGCCTCCTGAGCCTGGGCCGCCCGCTGCGCCTCGGCTGCTTGCTCTGCTCGGTGTGTGGTGTTTGTGTGTTGTGTGTTGAGTGTTGTGCGTTCGCGCGTGCGTGTGCGTGTGCGTTTGCGTGTGCGAATGCATGTGCGTGTGCGTGCGCGTGTGCGTGTGAATGCGTGTGCGCGCGCGTGTGCCGTGTGCCGTGTGCGTGTGCGTGTGCGTGTGCGCGTGCACGTGCGCGTGCGGGTGCGGGTGCGTGTGCGTGCGTGCGTGTGCGGGTGTGTGTGTGTGTGTGTGCGTGCGCACGCGTGCGTGTGCGCGTGCGCGTGCGCGTGCGCCCGCGAGTGGGTGTGCGTGTGCGTGTGCGTGTGCGTGTGCGTATGTGCGTGCGCGTTTGTGTTTGTGTGTGTGTGCGTGCGTGCGTCTGTGCGTGTGTGTGCGCGCGTGTGCGCGCGTGTGCGCGGCGTGCGTGGTGCGTGTGCGTGCGTGCGTGCGTATGTGCGTGCGTGCGTGCGTGCGTGCGTGTGTGTGTATGTGCGTGCGTGTGTGTGTGTGCGTGTGTGTGTGTGTGTGTGTGAGTGCGTGCGTGTGTGCGCGCGTGTGCGTGTGCGTGCGTGCGCGTGTGCGTGTGCGTGTGCGTGTGCGTGTGCGTGTGCGCGTGCGCGTGTGCGTAAGCGTGCGCTCGTGCGTGCGTGCGTGCGTGCGCGCGCGTGCGTGCGTTCCGTGCCGCTCAAGCGCGTGCGCGTGCGTGCGTGCGTGCGTGCGTGCGTGCGTGCGTGCGCGCGCGTGTGCGTGCCTGCGTGTGTGCGTGCACGCGCGTGTGCGAGTGTGTGTGTGTGTGCGTGTGTGCGCGTGTGCGCGTGTGCGTGTGTGCGTGTGTGTGCGTGTGTGCGTGCGTGTGTGTGCGTGTGTGCGTGTGCGTGTGTGCGTGTGTGCGCGTGTGTGTGCGTGTGTGCGTGTGTGCGTGTGTGTGCGTGTGTGTGCGTGTGTGCGTGCGTGTGCGTGTGTGTGCGTGTGCGTGTGTGCGTGTGCGTGTGCGTGTGTGGTGTGCGTGTGCGTGTGTGCGTGTGTGCGTGTGTGCGTTGTGCGTGTGTGCGTGTGTGCGTGTGTGCGTGTTGCGTGTGTGCGTGTGTGCGTGTGTGCGTGTGCGTGTGTGCGTGTGTGTGCGATGTGTGCGTGTGCGTGTGTGCGTGTTTGCGTGTGTGCGTGTGTGCGTGTGTGCGTGTGTGCGTGCGTGCGTGCGTGCGTGTGTGCGTGTGTGCGCGTGTGTGTGTGTGTGTGTGCGTGTGTTGTGTGTGCGTGCGTGCGTGCGCGCGTGCGCGCGTGCGCGGGTGTGTGTGTGTGTGTGCGTGTGTGCGCGTGTGTGCGTGTGTGCGTGTGTGCGTGTGTGTGTGTGTGTGTCTGTCTGTTTGTTTGTTTGTTTGTTTGTTTGTTTGTTTGTTTGTGTGCGTGTGTGTATGCGTGCGTGCGTGCGTGCGTGCGTGCCTGTGTGCGTGTGTGTGTGTGTGCGTGTAGGTGTGTAGGTGTTTGTAGGTGTGCGTATGTGTGTAGGTGTGTGTGTGTGTTTGCTTGCGTGCGTGCGTGCGTGTGTACGTGTGTGTGTGTGTCTGTAAATATGTGTGCAATTGTTCCCCTTCACGGCACGAGCGGCCCCAAGAGCATTCCCGCGGACGGATGGGGTGCCAGCGGCCTGGGCGGGCTCAAGATGACATCCTCTCCATGTTCTCCCGCCTGCGCCTGCTCGGCTTCGGCTTCTGCCGCCGACTCTTCTTCGACATCGCTCAAGGGCCTCAAGCTCGAATCGCCGACCCCCTGGAGGACCTTGTTTCATTCTTCGCGAATGCGGCCGTTATCGGCCCTGGCCGCCCGCACCGGGCAGCGTCACGAACCGTGCTGACCTCCGAGCCGTCCCTGGCTATTCCTGAACGCATTCCCAGACTTGAGCAGGAAGCGGCCGTCCCGGCGTTCCGAGTGGGCCTACCACGAAATGCTCTTAGAACCCAGACATGCTCAAAGAACAGTAAGAGTGTTCTTGAAACATGGAGCCGATGCTTCAGATGAAGCAGCCCGAGCCCGAGATGCTCTGAGAACATGCCGCGCAGACCACGGGAGGCTCTTAGGACATGTCTTGGTGGGGGCCTCGTGTGGGCAAGCCGGGGCGCCGCGCCGCTGCTTGATCAGACGGCGCCCGCGACTCGCTCGAGAATGAGAAAACGCCTCCTCGTCGTCGCTTCGTCTCTCCCCCCTGCCTCGCTCGCCCCTGACCGCCGCCGTCGTCGCCGCCGTCGCCGTCGCCGTCGCCGTCGTTGTCGTTGTGGTTCGCGTGCGCCGCCTCAGCGTTCGACCGCGCAAGTGGAGCGTGTCCCACCACTCCCTGCCAGTGCAACTCAGTCGGGCACGGCAACTTTTTTTCTCTCGCGCTGCGGCGGACGTTGACTACCTACCAGACCACCCCAACCCAACCCGAAGACCCGAATTTCGGGTTGGGGGGGGGCAAGGGTTCCACACGTGTTTTTCCGATTTTCCTCGACCCCCCCCCACTGGAAATCGACGGTAAATTTGAGCCTTCGGGTTGGGTTGGGGTGGTCTGGTGGGTGGAGACGTCCCCCCCACCCCCGCGCCTCACAGCCCGAGGCGCGGCGTCCACGGGTCGTCCGCGAACGCCGCGCCGCCGCCCGCGGGCGAGCGCGGCCTGGCCGGAGCCGCCGCCCGACGACGACGGCGGCGCCCTCACGGGAGCAGCGCCCCTCTTGGGCGACACCCGCGGGCTCCCCCCTCTGGGGCGGCGCCCTCTTGGCGAGAGGGCGTCGTCCGAGGGGGGTGGGGCCTCAGAGCGCTGCTCGGGGCCTGTGCGCGGCGAGGCCCCCGAGAGGCGAGGAGCACACCGAGCGAAGCAGAGGGGGGCCCTGAGGTCCGGGCAAACGCCACGGCCCTGGCCATGCTGGCCCCCACCCAGTCATCACCCCCCGGTTGGCCGCCCCATCCATCCTCGCGGGAGCACTGCTCCCGCCAGCTCCTGGGAGGGCTTCGCAAGAAGCACTGAGAGCTGTGAAACCTGGAAGCGTGGCCAGTGAGCCGGATGAGCCCAAGTTAAGCACAATGCCAGCTCCACTAAGCCAGTTTAAGCGGGATTGAGCAAAACTAAACGGGATTGTGCGGGATTTTGATTACGCATGTACTAATGCCGATGCCGCATTCAACCTCCCAGGAGCTGCATCCTAAGCACTGCTCCTGCGAGGAGGAGGCCGTCGTCGTCGTCGCCGGGATCTGATCCAGATCCGCGACTCGATCTCTCCCGGGGTACATTCTGACCAAATTTCGAAGCGAATCCAGCCGTGGCGAGGAGGGCCTCCCAGGGCGACCCAGAAATGCGAAAACGAGGGAAGAGTAGCGGTTGGAGGCGACCATGGAGTCTAAATGGCATGCGCCCCGAGAGAATCGGTCACGACTCGGAGGTGAGAAAAAGTCCGCTCCGACTCGGTCCCCAGGACATCTTCTGGGGCCCACCTTGTAAGCATGCTCACCCAGATCCCTGCTTGACGGTCCTGGGGCCCGAAAGCGGCCCCTGAGGGCTGAAAAGAGCAACAAAAAGAAACACCTTCTCGAACCCAGACGCCTCGAGCCTCGCCACCCCGTCCTGCTCGCCGGAGGGTGCGTCGGGTCGGGCCGCCGCGGCACGGGGTCGGGGTCGACGAGGCGAGGCGGACGCGGCGGGATGCCCAGCAACGGCGCTGTGCAGGCGCTGGGCCGCACCAGATCTTCGGAAGGCCCGGTTCAAGTCGGGCTGGGTCGGCCGAAAGGAATATCGATGCGGATCGGTCGAATCGGAATGGGCCCCGTGATGTGGGCCGTTTGGGCGGTTTGGGAGGCTCTCTTGGGCCCTTCTGGGCTGTCAGAGGGCTCTGTTCAGGCGGCGGGAGGTCGCGCTGGTCCCATCGTGGACTGCCTGGGGGATGCTTTGATGCATCTTGGAGGCGGCCCGGGGGTCTGAGCTGGAGGTGTCCCGAGGAAATCTGCCAAGAAGGGGGGATGCGGGCAAATTCGCTCAAACTCTTCGAGCTCCTCCTCCTCCTCCTCCTCCTCCTCCTCCTCATCCTTCTCCTCGCCTGCGATCTCCTCCTCGTCCTCCTCCTCCTCCTCCTAGCCATCGTCCTTCTCCTCATTCTCGTCGTCCTCCTTCCCCTCCTCCTCCTCCTCCTCCTCCTCCTCCTCCTCCTCCTCCTCCTCCTCCTCCGCATCCTTGGTGATCATCAAAACTACCCATAATCCTTTGCGAGGGGACCTAAGCTAGGCATGAGGGATAGTGAGCCTGTGTTGCAGATGCGCCGGGCGAAGCTGCCCGCACGTCTAGGGATATCCCCCAAACCCGTGGGCCTGAGTTAGATCACGAGGTCACTGTGTTACTACGGCTAGGGGTTGTACTATGCTTACTCCAGATTTCGTAATAAAAGGGAGGGGGTCTGGACCCTCCAAGACAAGCCATTTCAGACCTCCCCCGTGGGAGAACCCTCCAAAACATTGTTCCCAGACCCCCCAGGCCCTCCAAGATAGCCTGGAAGAGACCCCCCCCGAAATGAGACCCCCTTCCCTTTATTACGAAATCTGGAGTAATGCCTCCTCGTCCATCCTCCGCCTCCCCAGTCGCGGGGCGGTGCAGGCGCGGCCGCCTGCCGGCTGGCGGCCGCGCCGCTGCGGGTGGGGGGGCCGCTGCTGTGGACCACGGGCCCGCGAGCCGCCTTGGGGGGGGGGCGCGGGAAGGCGGGAGGGGCGGGGGGCAGCGGCAGGGCAGGGAGGGAGGGGATGCGAGGGAGAGGAGATGCGAGGGGGGAAATGAAAATTGTAGGGTTCGCGATCACGCCCGTCACCGGCCCCGCCCCCCCGCCCTTCCCTCCCACCCCTCTGGTGCCGTCACAACTCGCGCTAACGCAGTCTGGGAAATGGCCGTTACTGGGCATTCCCAGACGGCGCCGGCACGAATCGTGACGTTACCGCCCCCCCGCCTCACGCCCTGTTACCGACAGGGAATGAAACATGCTCGCAAGGTGGAGGGTAGTGACAGGAAGGGCAGAGGAGGGAGGGGGCCAGCAGGCAGAGAATGGCAATGGCAGGAGGCAGGGGGGAGAGACAGAATCCACTACCGTGCCTGTGGCACGAAGTGGAGTGCCCCAAGGCTCATCCAGCACTGAGGGTAGACGCTGTGATGCTACTGCTGCGGCAGCTGCAGCGAGAATTGTATGTCCTTAAGGGCCCCGACCAATCGATTCCCAGGCCTTTCTGGGCTAGCTCCCGTGAGTTCTGCGATGTTTCCTGCGCCTCCTGTGAACGCTGTGCCCCCCCCAAGCGACCTCCCGAACCCTCCCATGACCCCAAGAGGGCCCCGAGTCGCCAAACGAATGTTCCAAGACGCCCAAGATGGCCGCAAGATGAACCAAAAGACCTCCCGAGAGGACCCCAAGAGGGGCCCAAGAGAGAGAGCACGAACCGAAAATCCGAGCCTTCAGCCCCAAGATGCCCCCAGAAGGCACCAAGAGGCGCCCGAGAGGCCCCTCGAGACCCCGGCCCCCAGAGGCCCGCAAACGGCACCCAAGAGATCTCTAAACTGCCTCCAAAGAGGCCCCCGAGAGGCCCCCCACGAGACCCCAACAAACATCCAATAGGCTTTTTACCCAGAACGCAGGCACGGTGGCGGTATGGGCCGAAGGCCATGAGATCCGCCGCCCCCTGTTGGCTTGCCACAGGGGTGCCCGGAGTGCTAGATCCTTTCGATTTTGGTGTCGGGCACTTTTCCCAAAGACCAAAGAATTCCCCCTAGGGCTTCGGCCGATCCCGCCCGGGTCCCGGAAAAGCCATGAAACCACCTCAACGACCGCAAAAAATTCTCCAAGACGGCTCAAGATGGCCTTCAAGATGGTCACGTTGGCCCAAGATGGCCTCCAAGATGGCCCAAGATGGCGTCCAAGTCGCCAAAGATGGTCCGAGATGGCTTCAAAGACGGCTCGAGAGAGTCCAAGATGCCTTCAAGTTCGTCCAAGAAGCCTCCAAGACGGCACCATCGTCCCAAGAGCGCCCAAGAGGCCTCCAAGATGGCGCCATGACAGCCCAAGAGGCCCCCAAGAGGGCCCCAAGAAGAGCCCAAGACGGCCCAAGATTGCCCCGAAGACGCCGAAGATGGCCTCCAAGACGGCCAAGATGGCCTCCAAGATGTCTCCAAGACGGCCAAGAAGGCCTCCACAACAGCGAAGATGGCCCCAAGATGCACCCAAGAAGGCCCCAGATGGCCTCAAGATGGCCTTAGACTGCAAAAGGCCAGCAAAAGGCCTCCGAGACGGCCCAAGAGCCCTCCAAGACGTCCTCCAGGAAACCCGAAAGCTCGGAAACCACCTGATCCGATAGCTCGCCCGACTCCGTGTTCCCCGAAAGCTTTCGAAAGCCGCTCGGGGAACGCGTGGCCCGATAGCTTGGCCAAGCTCAAACTTAGCTTTCGGCCACGCAGGCAGGGGGCGGCGGTGATTCGCCGTAGGCGTCTTCGATAAAGCATGCTCTCAAGCAAGGCTGGACCTTAATTACATGGTTTCGTTGTGCTCTACCTTGTGTGCTGTACCTCCCTCCCAAAACGAAAAACCAAACACAGCCGAAGTCGAGCAAAACAGTGTTTAGGTCCAGCCCTGCTCTCGAGGTGAGGGTAGGGGCGGGAAGGGCAGAGCAGGAAGGGGGCCCAGCAGGCAGAGAATGGCAGGAGGCAGGGGGGAAAGGCGGACGCCAGACAGCCGCTCGTTGGAGGGAGGACTCGGGTTAGGTCGGCTTGTGTGCTGTACCTCCCTCCCAAATCGAAAAACCAAACACAGCCGAAGCCGAGCAAAACGGTGTTTAGGTCCAGCCCTGCTCTCGAGGTGGGGGTAGGGGCGGGGAGGGCAGAGCAGGGAGGGGGCCCGGCAGGCAGAGAATGGGCAGGAGGCAGGGGGGGAGAGGCGGACGCCAGGCAGCCGCTCGTTGGAGGGAGGACTCTAGGGGGAAAACAAACCTACCTCGCTTTTGACCACCCTCGCTTCCAAGAGATACCAAACGATGCCAAATTGCAGCCTGTACTGGTCAGGCCGCTTGACGAGGAGGCGCGTGGTATGGCTTGGTTTTGCCTGGAAGCGAAAGCGGGGTAGGTAACTCACGCTCTGAGACTCGGGTTAGGTCGGGCATGTCTTCCAGGCGGATTCTGGGCGAGAGTTCGAACTGGCCAAAAAGGTATTCTAAAATAGTGAAACAATAGTCGAAACTCGTCCGCAGACTATTGTTGGACCATTTTTGAATGTCCCTCCTGTGGAGGGACATGCCCGACTTAATGATAGGGGGGATGGTCGCAGGAGGGGTGGGGGAACCGTCGAGCTGGAAACCGCGGGTGGGTTATCGGGCCACGGGCCACCGCTGGCGACCAATGGGCGATCGGGGGTCGATGCATCGTGGATGCCACTGTGGGGCCTGAACTGGTTGGGACCCCAGGAAGTCTGTCGGGAGGGGAAGTTAAGTCAAATCCGGTCAAAATCGGATCCCAGACGCCTCCCATGGGCTGTTCCCTTCGGGTATCGAGGAGCCGATCCCCGACTTGGGTGGTGGGAGGTTGGGGCAGAGATACCGTGGCCCGGTGAGGATGGGATGGCCGACCGAGGAGTGCAGCGGCCTGGGCGAGCTCGAGATCACCCGCTCCATGTCCTCCAGCCTGCGCCTGCTCGGCTTGAGCAGCACGGTCGAGCCCGCAGGCGCAGCGCGGGCCAGGTCGGCGCAGCACGCCAGCGGCTCCGCGCCGTGCTCGCCCCCCAGCTGCGCGACCGGCGACAACACCCGAGAGGACGAGCCCGGGCACCTCGCTGGGCTGGGCGCGAGGAGGAGGAGGAGGAGGAGGAGGAGGAGGAGGAGGAGGAAGAGGAGGAATGAGGAGGAGGGAGGAGGAGGAGGAGGGAGGAGGAGGAGGAGAGGAGGAGGAGGAGGAGGAGGAGGAGGAGGAGGAGGAGGAGGAGGAGGAGGAGGAGGAGGAGGAGGAGGAGGAGGAGGAGGAGGAGGAGGAGGAGGAGGGAGGAGGAGGAGGAGGAGGAGGAGGAGGAGGACGGGTCGCTTAAGCCCTTCGGAGAAACCCTCCACGGGCACCTCGCCGGGCTGTGCGCCCAGACCGGCGACACCGCCCGCGCCAGTGGGCTCGGCAGCGGCCGCGCCGCCAGCGCCCGCACAACAGGCGAGCCCTGCGGCGGCCCGGCCGCGCGCCGCGCGCACGCGAGCAGCAACGGCGACGCGGGCGCGGCGGGCGCTGCCGGCGACGCCCCGCGCGGCGCCGCCGCAGGCGGCGCCTGGAGCGGCAACGGCCGGCACCGCGCGAGCGGCGTCACCGCGCGGGCCGCGCGCACGGGCGGCGGGGTCGCCACGCGCACGGGCGGCGGGGTCGCCGCGCGCACGGGCGGCGGGGTCACCGCGCGCACGGGCGGCGGGGTCACCGCCCGCACCGCGGCGGCAGGCCCTGGGCGCACCACGACGCTCGGCCGGACGACGCGCTTCTGGAGGGACGCGCCCGCGCTCGCGGAGTCGGCGTAGCTGGTCGAGGGCGTGCTGGCGTCGGCGAGGCCGCCGGGCGCCTGCGCGGTGACCCTCGGCAACACGCCGTAGCTGCCGGACGGAGTCGCCACGCGCCGTGCCGCCGCGCCCGGGCCCAGCGGAGTCCCCGGGCCCGGGGCCGCAGGAGGAGCCGCCGGGCCGTCGCCGCACGCCATCGGCGCCGCCCCCGCGCCGGCGGCGGGTGCATCGGGCGGGCTGCCACCGGGCGCTGCAGCTGCTGCCGCCGCAGCCTCTGGACCCGGGCGCGGCTCGGCGGGCGCCGGCGAAAGCCTTCCCCGCCAGTCCGCCTCGTCCGCGCCCCGGCCGCTGGCGGCCGCGGCCGCGGGCGCGCAGGGGCTGCGCCCGCGGCGCAGGTTCTGGCAGACGGCGTTCAAGCCCAGGCCGAGGGCCTGCAGCTGGCGCGCCTGGAGGAGACAAGAAGACAGTCATCAACGTAGGCTTTCGGATGTCCGCGCCTTGGATAGGCGCTGGACCACCCACAGCGCGCCAGGGGCGGCGCCGGAGGCGCCGCCAGGGGGCCCCAGCGCAGGTCCAAGAAGTCCGCGCAAACCCTGACAGGGTATGTTCTTGTCCAGAGAGCTCGTGCTGTGTCGCCCCCGGCATTGGTTCATGACTCTGCGTCGATCGTTCAACCTTAAATGATCGCCGGCGTCTCGATCGCCAGATCCTTCCATATTGGCCGATTATGGGCCGCTGGAGGCGTTCAACCTTGAACGCCCACGCTGGGGTCGCCGCCAGTCGACACGACGCGAACCTGCCGTAGCTGTTTCTCCTTCGAGCGCCGTCTCCAGCCGGAGGGGCTCGCTCATCCTTTGGATGTCGAAGACGTACAGCTTGGGCCTCCCGCAAGACAGGGAGCGGACAAAGTCCGGGCTGGAAGTCAGCAGCCCGCTCCCGTCGAACACGGCCTGCTGGGTCTCGGGCACGCCGAAATAGTGCTCGATGTGGCGCCGCAGCGTTCCCGGGAAATCCGCGGATTTAGAAGAAGAAACAACGGCATAAACCAAAGCTTAGGTCGGGCATGTCCTCCTGCAGGCGGAGTTTGGAAGAACAAGATAGAAGACTCAAACCATCATCGAAAATATTCCACAGAGCATGGAAAATCGCCCCTTTCCTATTTTTCTGCTGTTCTTGAACGTTCCTCCTGTAGAGGGACATGCCCGAATTAAACACAAGCTTTCGACGGTCCGCACGGACGTCTTGGATCGACGCTGCGCTCCCTCGGCTCCACGCACCAAGAGGGGGGCCCAGCGCCGATCCAAGAAATCCCCGCGGACATCCGAAAGTGGTTGTTATACGACAGGTTCGCGTCGTGCCGACTTCGGCGCTGGTTTCTGATACCGCGGCGATTGCTCAACCTTGACCGAAGAGCCCTTGCCGAAACATCAGATCGTTCAACATCGATCAAATATGGGTCGCCTGCGGCGGGGTCGCTGCTGGTCGACACGACGCGAACCTACCGTACCGTTTTTGATTCCTCCAGGCTTGCACCACCGACTGCATCTTGTCCACGTCGAACCACTCGTGCAGGACCCCATCGACCTCCACCTGTAGGATGCGGCCACCGTCGCTGGCCGCCATGCTGACCCCGGCACGGCGAGCATGTCAGTGAGCTCCCAGACCTCCGCCACGTTTTCTGCCGGGTGGGCCCTACTAGATGCGATGCACAAAATGTTGTGCAACACGGGGCCCCACAACAAACCGGCCCTTTCTCCAGGGCAGGCTTTGCACCCTGATAGGTTGCGACATCCCCGCCCTACCCCCCGCCAACTATCGATTAGTGTGAATCGATCGGAGGCGGGGGCAGGGCGTCGGATATTTGCCGCGTGTTCGACGAAGTCCGAACCCTACCCCCGCCGCCCCATCGGGTTGCCTGAGTCGTGGATCGGCGAGGGCGGGGTCCGGATCTCGCCGCCGACACCCGAGCAGGTCTTCTGAGGGTCCCAGGGCCTGTCAAGGGCCCCCGGAAGCTGAAAACGAAAGCGAGCACTGCAAATTAGGGAAGGGAGCTCTGTACACCGATGCTTCTTCCGACACTGCGCTGGAATTTGTCCAAGTAAGCAGATCCTCTTGTATACGGGATCGTGGTGTATACATGTGTCGCGGTTCCCTCTGCAACGGAACAACAAATTCACACCACACCGCCCCGACGTCGCACCCCACCCTCAAAAAGTCCTGGGATTGAAGAACAGCCCGCCATTGGCCCGACAAATGTTTCAGTCCCCGACAAGTGTTTCACACGTTCCAGTTTCGGACACATGGTATACCTTCCAGTTTCCGACAAATGTCTCAGTTTCCGACACACGTTCCAGTTCCCGACACATGTTTCACACGTTCGAGATCAGGGATGTTCCTAGGGCCGATTCGCTGGCAGGCAGCCGCCCAGGACGGCCCGGGGAGCCGCGGCCCGCAGCCGAGCACCCCGCGGGGCCCAGAAGCCTCGGGGAGGCCGGTCGCCGTGGCTTTCTGCACGACGGGGACGAGGTCGTGGTTCGGCGGCGAGCGAGGGGGGGGGGGAGTGGGAAGGAAAGGGCCTTCTCGGAAGGCAGCGGGGCTTCTCAGAAGGACTCGCGCCTTCTGAGAGGTATTTGTTGGAGGCCTGGAAATGGGCACCAACACCAACGCAGGGGGTTTGCCTCCACAAGGGGAAGGTGATCTTAGATTTCGGTGTTGGTGGAAATATTTCGACCACCTTGGAAGCCGTAATATTACCACCATCACCGAAATCGGGATCTTCTTCCCTCGGTGGAGGCACATCGCCGATATTGGTGTTGGTGTCTACAGGGAGGGCGTAGAAAACTTCTCAGAGGCTGGGGGACTTCCGAAACTTCTGAGAAGGCCCGCCCCTTCTCGCTTCCCCCCCCCGCCTCGCCGCCAAGTGGCATAGGATCGGCTCCGGATGCGCTCCAGAGCTCCCGGAGCTCCTCCTCCTTCTCCTCCTCCTCCTCCTCCTCCTCCTCCTCCTCCTGCTCCTCCTCTTCCTCCTCCTCCTCCTCCTCCTCCTCCTCCTCCTCCTCCTCCTCCTCCTCCTCCTCCCCCTCCTCCTCCTCCTCCTCCTCCCCGAGCGTGGCCATTGTTTCACAGCCGGCCTCCTCGCCGGGTCTCGGGCCCCTAGTTGGGCCCTCACGGACCGATCCCGCCCGAAGAGCGGCGATGAAAAAGATGGGGTCCAGGGCTCCAGCGGTGGTTGCTTGCGGTGTTGCAGTTCTCGGGCACCTTGGGATCTGGGGGCAGGATCCGCCCCCGTGCCTTCCACGCGCAGTGGAGTGCCGCAAGGCTCTTGCGGCCAGCCCTGCGGCCCTGAGACGGGTAGCAGGAGTGTCAGGTTGTTCAGCGCCCGGACCCCCCGTTTCCCAGCCGCACGCGAAAACCGAAACAAAAATTGCTCTGCAACAAAACGCGCGTTTGTTGCCTCGAACCGGCCGTCTCCTGTTACCCCGTCTGCTGTTACCCCGTCTCCACTGCCCTGACGTAAGCTTGTTCGATACGTTCCGGGAATTCCCAAGCATCTAGCGGTCCTCGTTTCTTCAGCCCGTGTGGGACCTTTGGGAAGCGTGGAGATCCTGAAATCTTGGAAACGTAAGGAGAAACGTTATCATGGCATCCTGCTCCCCTGAGTTGTACGACCAGAATGATGTCATGGTCGCATTGGCTCTGGATGCGTTCCAGGAGCTCGGGGGTATCTAGCGGCCCTCCTCTCTGCTGCCCGTGTGGAACACTTGGAATTCTGGGAAATCCTGGAAGTGCAACCCGCTGAAAAATCTCGGAATTCTGGGACTTCTGGGAAATCCTGGAATTCTGGGAGATCCTGGGAGATCCTGGGATCTGGAAGTCTGGGACATCCTGCAATGCCGGGAGACCCTTCCTCTGGCACCTCTGGAGCAGGATCGATCTGCGATGGCTCCAGGGCCCGAGCCCGGGCCAACAAACGCCTCGCGCGGAACAGGCGCACCCGCCGGGTCTCAGGGGAGGCCCTGCCGCGGAGTGGCTCAGTTCGGCGGCGAGCGGGGGGGGAAGCGAGGAGGATAGGAGGCCTTCTCAGAAAGCTCGGAAGTCCCCCATAGGCTTGCGAGGAATTGTCCGAGTCTTCCCCGGAGACACAGCACACCTCTCAGAAGGCGCGAGGGCTTCTGAGAAGCCCCGCTGCCTTCTGAGAAGGCCTTCTCCTTCCCACTTCCCCCCCTCGCTCGCCGCCGAACCGCGACCTCGCCCCCGTCGTGCAGAAAGCCACGGCAACCGGCCTCCCTGAGGCTTCTGGGGCCCGCGAAGGCTCGGCTGCGGGCCGCGGCCCCCCCCCCCCGGGCCGTCATGGGCGGCTGCCTGCGAGCGAATCCCTGATCTCGAACGTGTGAAAGCGCCGATCTTTTTCTCAAAGCGCCAGAGGTCTGGGCCATGGGCGCCCTCGCTGTCTATCGGCGGGGGCCCGCGGCGCCGCCGGGCAGGGCCATGGCTCGCGCCGTAAACAGCCCTGCCCGCCCCCTCGGCGCGCGCCGCCGGCCGCCAGAGTCACGGGGGCGGCCCTTTGGAGAGGGTGGTGCTGCGGCGGGGGGGGGGGTCTCCTCCTCCTCCGCCTCCACCTCGTCCTCGTCCTCGTCCTCGACCTCCTCCTCCTTCTCCTCCTTCTCCTCCTCCTCGACCTCCTCCTCCTCCTCCTCCTCCTCCTCTCCTCCTCGTCCTCGTCCTCGTCCTCGACCTCCTCCTCCTCCTCCTCCTCCTCCTCCTCCTCCCCCTCCTCCTCCTCCTCCTCCTCCTCCTCCTCCTCCTCCCCCGCCCCGACCCGCGCGTCACCCGCCCGGCCCTCCTCCTTCTTATGCTCCAGACTGCGTCTTGCCCGGCATGGTCACGTCCTGAGGGATGACGCTCCTACCCTGGCGCCGATGACCTGCAAGCCCTGCGGGGTGTTGGCACACGGCGCGGGGCGACCGCTACCCCACGAAGGATAAGCACGTACAGATACCTCCACGGATAGCTCCACCTCCTCCTCCTCCTCCTCTTCCTCCTTCTCCCCCTCCTCCTCCTCCTCCTCCTCCTTTTTCACAACTATCATGTGGTGTTGGGTCCTCGTTTTGAAGAGACATCGCCCCGCGTCCCTCACTCCTCCTCCTCCCCCTCCTCCCTCGTCCTGGCATCATCATAAATCATCATGATTATCGTCATCGTAGTCATCACCACCGTCATCACCATCATCATCCTCATCACGACCGCCTGCATCACCACCATCGTCATTATCAGTGTCGTCATCATCACCATCATCACTCACACGTTTCGTGGCAAATAGGGAGCTCCACCGAAGACCCCAGTGCCACAAGCACACCCGTTTCGGCACACCCCTCACACGTTCCGTGGCCCCATACGGAGCTCCACCAAAGGCCCCAGTGCCACCGCCCGCATGCGGCACGCACACCAATTTCGGCACACCCCTCACACGTCTCGTGGCCCCACAGGGAGCTCTACCGAAGGCCCCAGTGCCCCCGCCAGCATGCGCCACGCACACCCATTTCGGCACCCCTCCCACGTTCCGTGGCCTCACAAGGAGCTTGACCGACGGCCCCAGTGCCACCGCCCGCATGCGTCACGCACACCCATCTCGGCACACCCCTCACACGTTTCGTGGCCCCACAGGGAGCTCCACCGAAGACCCCAGTGCCAACGCCCGCATGCGTCACGCATTCCCGTTTCGGCACATCCCTCACACGTTTCGTGGCCCCATAAGCTCCACCGAAAGCCCCAATGCCACCGCCCGCATGCGTCCCGCACACCCGTTTCGGCACACCCCTCACACGGTTCGTGGCCCAAGGGAGCAACACCGAAGGCCCCAATGCCACCGCCCGCATGCGTCACGCACACCCGTTTCGGCACACCCCTCACACGTTTCGTGACCCCATAGGTGCTCCAACGAAGGCGCCAATGCAACCGCCCGCATACGTCACGCACACCAATTTCGACACAAACACCTCACACGTTTCGTGGCCCCATACAGAGCTCCACCGAAGACCCCAGTGCCAACGCCCGCTTGCGTCACGCACACCCATTTCGGCACACCTCTCACACGTTTCGCGGCCCCATACAGAGCTCCACCAAAGACCCCAGTGCCACCGCCCGCATGCGTCACGCACACCCATCTCGGCACACCCCTCACACGTTTCGTGGCCCCATACGGAGCTCCACCAAAGACCCCAGTGCCACCGCCCGCATGCGCCACGCACACCCATCTCGGCACACCCCTCACGCGTTTCGTGGCCCCACAGGGAGCTCCACCGAAGGCCCCAGTGCCACCGCCCGCATGCGCCACGCACACCCATTTCGGCGCACCCCTCCCACGTTCCGTGGCCCCACAAGGAGCTTCACCGACGGCCCCAGTGCCAACGCCCGCATGCGTCCCGCACACCCATCTCGGCACACCCCTCACACGTTTCGTGGCCCCACATGGAGCTCCACCGAAGGCCCCAGTGCCACCGCCCGCCTGCGCCACGCACACAAATTTCGGCACACCCCTCACACGTCTCGTGGCCCCATACAGAGCTTAAACGAAGGCGCCAATGCCACCGCCCGCATGCCCGCACACTCATTTCGGCACACACACACACACACACACACACACCCCACACCAAAGGCCCCAGTGCCAACGCCCGCATGCGTCACGCACACCCATCTCGGCACACCCCTCACACGTTGCGTGGCCCCACAATGAGCCCCGCCGACGGCCCCAGTGCCTGCTTCCGCATGCGCCCACCGGACAAAGTTCGGCACACCCCTCACACGTTTCGTGGCCCCACAGGGAGCTCCTCCGAATGCGGCGAATAACCAACGACGGTGTGCTCACAACTGCATGTGGTTGGGTCCTTCTCCACGCTAGTTTCCCTCCTCCGCCTCCGCCTCCTCCTCCTCCTCGCCCTCGTATTCCTTCGCGCCTTTACCCTCCTTATCCTTCTCCTTCTCCTCCTCCCTCCTCCTGCTCCTCCTCCTCCTCCTCCTCCTTCTCCTCCTCCGCCTCCGCCGCCTCCTCCTCCTCCTCCTCCGCGTCCTCCTCCTCGGCCCTTGGGGTCGGGGGTGGGGGCCCCGCCCGGCGGCGCGGATGAGAGGGGGGGGGGGGGCGAGCGAGGAAGCGGGGGAGGAAGGGCCAAGCGAGGAAGCAGGGGCGAAGCGCTTGGGCGAGTGATGGGACGGAGGGCGGGGGACGAAGGATGGCGCGGGTGGTGGGCGTGTTTTCCACCACCACCACCATCAGTTGGAGGGGGGGTCCTCCTCCTCCTCCTCCTCCTCCTCCTCCCCTCCTCCTCCTCCTCCTCCTCCTCCTCCTCCTCCTCCTCCTCCCCCCCCTCCAACTTATGGTGGTGGTGGTGGAAAACAGGCTCATCAGCGGGGGAGGAGGAAAGGGGCCAGGACGGCGAGGGGGAGGACGGAGGCGGGATGGAGCGACGAGGGGGGGAGAGAGCAGCGTGAAGGGAGACGACAGAGGCACGGAGGAACGAGGAAGGAGGGGGAGGGGGCCTGTGCAAGTCCAGCGACCCCGAGTTGGCGGGAGGGTGCCGAGTTGGCGGCCTGGGCACGAAGGAACGGGAGGGTGCCGAGTTGGCGGGGCAGCCCACGGTCTCCTGAGGCACCACAGATAGTCAGCCGCTGGGCCGATCCAGAACACAGAAGTGCAGCCCAGACCACCCCAAAGGCCCCATCCAAACGACAGGGGGGCGGTGGGCGTCAGCCTGGAACAGAAAACACCGCAGAGGGGGTGATACTCCAGGATCCAGTCTGAAACCTGGCGCAAACTCACTTCCGAAACATCTCGCGAACACTGGACAGTCACAATTCACGCCAACGCCGACAAACGCGACGCCAAACCCGAGTCCTGGTAAACTCGAGTCTGACGCGTCCCCGATCGTCTAGCTACTTCCCGCGACAAGTTCCCTGTCGCCTCCTGTCTCCACTGGCTTCAGATCTGCATCGGCGCGCCTCCCCCTCCGTGTCTCTTTTTGAAGCCGGTAGAGGTCACAGACCTGCTGATGACACACACCAGCCAGCGCGCAGGCCAGGCCGTCCGCGCGCTTCAAACCTACAGCGCAACACTGCCCAACACGATATATAAAAACAAGCGACGACAATAAACGGCGGGAGCAGCATAACTCGGATACCACAATGGTGCACTGTAACCTACGGGCCTCCCGACGGGCCGGGCGAAGGGAGGGGTCGGTGGCCACATGTGAACCATACCCCCACCGCCCACGATTTCGAAGGGGGGGTGGGGGGGGGGTCACTTCGTTCGGGAGCAGCCGAGCGGAGTGAACCCCAGCCCCCCCTTAGAGATCGTTGGGGGTGGGGGTAGATTAGAAAGCAACCACTGGGAGGTCTCTGTCAGAAGGATTAAGGAGGATTAGACCCCATTGGGGCTCTTCCGCCAGAGAAGGCCTCGGATTGAGCGGGATTGCGCCAGACCAAGCGGGATGAAGCCGGATTAAGCTGGATTTCGGACCAGAGCAAAATCAGAATTTGACCTCCCAGGAGTTGTACCCGGAGTTAGGGTTCTCAAGTGGCAACCCGCGAATCGGCCAAAGGGGGAGCTCCGCCAATCGGCTCCCGCAGCTGCAGCCGGCGCCCCTGGCGCCTCCCGGCGCCAGGAGGCGCCAGTGCATCGAGGGAGGGCACCTCGTGGCGGCGGGTCCGACACCAGCTGAGCGACGAAAACACACTGGCCTTGCGCGAGTTGCCATGCAGCCAGACCTAGGACAGAAGAACACTGATCCTTCAATCGGGGAGACGTAGGACTCGTGTACGGGGGACTCGGGTTGGCATGACGGGGCCATCATGAAAAAGTCGAGGCCCAATCGAAAATTTGACGCGAGCTCCCTCTGAAAACATCCCACGAGAACAGGATCGTCGGCAAGCCCGAGCTCTGGCTTACCCGAGTCTTACGTTTCCCCGATGCGAGGCCATAACACCCTCCGATGGCCAAACCACCGCACACCACAAGATCACTCGAGGGTACTCCAGACTTCGTAATAAAAGGGGGGGGGTCTCAACCCTCCCAGACGAGCAGTTTTAGACCCCCCCCGTGGGAGAACCCTCCAAAACATCGTCCCCAGACCCCCCCAGGCCCTCCAAGATAGCCTGGAAGAGACCCCCCCCGAAATGAGACCCCCCTCCCTTTATCACGAAATCTGGAGTACCCGAAGAACGTAGAACATCCGACAAACCCGAAGAACATGAGCGTACCCCCGCCCCCGAGCCGACCTCGATCTGCTACCTCGGTCCGACCGCAGCGGCCTTACGCGGTGGCTCACGCGGGCCGCCAGCGCGGCACGCCACATTAGAAACGAAGGCGCTTAGTGACTACCTACCAAACCACCCCAACCCAACCCGAAGACCCGAATTTCGGGTTGGGGGGGGTACGGGTTTCATGTGTGTTTTCTCAACGTTCCCCGACCCCCCCCCCCAACTGGAAATGGAGGGCAAATTGGGGCCTTCGGGTTGGGTTGGGGTGGTTTGGTGGGCGGTGACTTACGCGCAACCTTACCAGGACGCTTGCGCGCCAATGTCGGTGAAGG